AGGGAGGGAGAGACGCGCGAAATCGGAAGAACGCACGACCGGGGTCAAGGGCCACGCCGACAGGGGAATAACAGCCGGCTTGTGGACTGTGGAGGTTCTTGACGGATACGTGGGCAGTTGGATTCTCTCTTAGCAGAAAGTATGCGATGATAAAGAGTGCAAGCGGTTGATTTGAGTTTTGTACGAAAGTGCCCGGGGATAGAGCCATGAAACGCCTAAACTCTGCTCTCAGTCGGACGGCAGAGCAGAAAGGGCAGATATTTTCAGCGAGGGATATCTCAAAAGTCCGACTTTGTCGGCGAGAAAACCCCGTGCGTGTTCGTCCTTGGTCGTTTTCGGAAACTTGGGGCTTTGTCTTGCAAAGGTTATCCTGTCATCAATCAACCAAAGGCTTGCAAGCGAACTAGGGACCCCGATCCATACCCAGGGGTAAAAGACGTTGCGATGCCGCGATGGTTCGAAGGTCTCCACTCCGTCTAAACCTTGATATTGCTTTGCCCACATTAAGCAAGGCTTTTAGCGGGATGAATGGGTGCCGAGACAAGCCTCCCATTCTCAAAGAGCCTGTTGACAGGCTTCTAGCGTCTTCACATAGAGCCTGCAGGCTAATCAGTGCAAGTATTTCATAAGAGTTTCTGCCCAGACTTATGCGGCACCAATGGAATTGCGTGATCGGCTGCCTGAGACGCTGATACGCATGGTCGGTATTGATCGCTGTGTGTATTGAGTTTTTCAAGAGCTGAGGAGTCCGTAACGCGCTCGCTTGAGAGAAGGGAAGGGGATCCCGTCCATTTCGCACCCCAAAAGGCTGGTAGGTTGGCGACAGACGCGCGCCACAGAGTTGAGATGACGGGCTGCCGCTCGAAGATGGATGCATTCATCTTTTCACGGCTAAGTCGGGGGAACGCTTTTGGAAATCTGACACAAATCCCCACGTGGGACTGCGCAATTGCTAACGATATTCGGACTATGTAGTGGGTCAGAGTGCTGGGTACTACGTTCCAAAACGCCAAGTGTTGATTAAGGAGACCCTGCCTTAGTTCACATGCAACTCTGGCAGAGTTGGCTGTCCAGTCCGTGGTACCCTAGGTGGTATCTCGGAACTCTCTGAGGCGTATCATCAGCCTCAAGGGAAGCCTCAAGTCTGGGAGGCTAAGCATTGCCTTACCCAGCTGATGTTAATCGCGCAAACTCAAAGCCATTTAACCGCATGTCTTTCGACGACTTACGTCCTGCCTATTAGGCACTCGTCTGGGGGCCTTGACCAAGTTCAGATGGCATCACGGACGTCTATCACACAATAAATAGAATGCACAGGGGCATCCGGAAGGCCCCACGTCCATCAACGACTTCATGACTCGCACCTTAGCCCCGTGACTCCATCAATGTAACGAACAGCCAATCCCGCCCAGTCCACGGTTCTGGTTTAGCAGCGCACTGGCTTTTGGTACAAGATGATACCCATTTCCACCCGTCGCCCGCGAGGCTCGCTCGCGTGGATGCCAACCAACATCCATTGGCGTGCGGGTTCACGATGGCCTTCGATGCGGCAGTCGCATCTGTCACACTGACGGGCAGCATACTTTCGTTCCTCGCGACAACAGGTGTATTAATCTCATTCGCTCTCTACCATGAGCATCAGCGATCTTTCCGCCATGCTCTCGTCCTGAACCTGACGTTAGCCGGTAAGTTCTGCCCCTCGGCCAAATCCAACTTGTGAAATGAAGAATGCGTACGCTGACTGCGATTGTCGAACGAAAAGAGTTCATCAACTCACTTGGCAACACGATTTCGGGCATCATCTACATCAAGAACAAAGAACTTCAACCGGGCGCAGCATGCGTGCTCAACGGCATGGTCGGCCAGCTCTCGGTACAGGCATCCGACTTCTCTATCCTTGCCATTGCGGTCGTCACCTTCCTCACCATAACACGGAAAACCTACATGCCGAATGCATCGACCTTCCGAAAGGTCATGATCTGCCTCTCCGTCTGGGTCGTACCGCTCATCACCAGCACGACAGCGACTCTCATGGGTACCATGAAACCCGTGAGCGGAAATTGGTGCTGGATAACCCGAGAGCGGCCCGATCTTCGATACGCACTAACTCACGGGTGGCGCTTCGGCATCATCTTCACCACGATTCTCATTTACCTCTACGTCTGGTGGTACCTCGGACGACACTTTCGCACAATGGTCAGCACATCTGATCCGTTGTACAATAGCGGAAACTCGAACGGCAACGTCGTCACATCATCTATACGGAAGAAGCAGGGATTCGAGTCAATACATACCCCCGAGCTGGAGATGGACCAGTTTGAGCGAGCGAACCCGACTTGGGGTGAGCTGCCACAGTTCTCGCCGACCCAGCAAGGTCAGCAAACGTCGCCTGTCGCCCCGCGGAGCGCGCCAGCTGCCATGGCCAGAAGACCATCGGCCACTGAAGTCGATGAAGATAAGGAAGTTCAAGTACAACCAGGCGGCAGGCGGCCGTCGGCGGTCAGAATGGCACACTTCGCTGAAAACAAGATCGACGAAGAGCCGACAGGCGAGCAAGAGCCGGGCCGGAAGATGTCGGCAAGGATATCACGATTCGACGACCATGACATGGACATGAGCCAAGCCTCCGAGGCGCGGTTCTCTTACCTCGATCAAGAGGATAAGCTGCACAAGAGCGCTTCCGGGGGCCCATCACACCTTCAGAAGGACATGCTCCCACCAGCAGCAATTGCTGCCCAAGCACAATTTGCTCAATACCGCATGGATAGCGGACCGCCGAGGCGGCCGTCGGTATCCATTTGGAAGAAGACTCACAGGAGCAGAAGCTCTACATTATCAGCATTATCGTTCAAGATGCCGGGGACCCGGGAAATGCAATCCCGAGACTTCCCGACGAACCCGACCCTCAATCACGTCGACAGCAGAAAGAGCGCGCCGCAGAACGTGACCGCAACAATGATGAGCGACTTCCCCATCCGAACGCAGACGAGGAAAGTCGAGCGTGAGATCAAGCGCATGATGCTCCTCAACGCTTACCCGGTCATGTATGTGGTGCTCTGGATCCCGGGCCTCGTCAACAGATTGATGGAGGCATCGGGAAACGGCTCGCAAAGTCGTGTTCTGGCGGCGCTGCAGAGCTCAAGTCAGTTTATCGGCTTGGCGAATGCAATCACCTATGGCTTCAATCAGCATGTAAGGCATAGGATAAAGGGCGACTTTTTCACATGGCTACGTCGAAGATGAACAGTTTATTATAAGAAAGAGCCGGAAGTGGCAGGACGAGTTACGAATCCGATGAAATAATACATTTTCAGAATACCCTATTAGTTAGTCAATCATAAGAATGATATCCATGGTTGCGATTCACAATACTTTCAACATCGCTTGCCTACCTGTTCCACCCAGCACCCTCCTAAATCGATGACTTTAGACCTGAAGGTTTGTGATCGCCTGGCGTCTTTGGAACCAACTGAAAGTACGTCGCGAAGTTTCTTGACAAGTTTGTTGAATATATGTGCAAATATTGACCTATGCTTCATGGCGAACTAATCAATACTTTTGGCTAAAGAAGTAATAGAAAGCTCATTGGTTGGTTCAAAGCACCAGTCAAATGTCACGTCGCCAGCAAGGTCTCAGAGGCAGACTTGCGAATAATCCAGTGGGGAGGGAAGTGTGACTGTGAAATATTTGATTTGAGTGAGAGTTTGACCAATTTATAGTGTCAACCAGTCCTAGCGCTCGTACTTGATGTAACTAGATTTGAGGTATTCAGGAGGTAACGAATCGGGCCGGTGGCCAACCCCGGGTTTTCTAAAGACCAGCGCGGGGTAATCGGGAGTTCTCCGGAGGGCTCGGAGACGGGGGTGGAGCAAAGATTATCTTGATAGAACGACACACAATCAACAGCTCTTCCGTCTCTTATCTACGCACATATCATACTGTCGGCCGCCACCAGCCGACTTCGGATCGGTCGTTTATTATGACAGTGGAGGAGCAAACAGTCCAGCTAGCAGTGTTCATCTGTGATCTCAGTTTGTGATTCAGCTCTAAATGCGGTTGGTACAGTTGCTGACTAAGTTCAAACAGGACTCAGTAATGATACCGCTTTGTTCGCCTACCTAGCCCGAGTGTTGATATTTCTGAATCACTTATGCGATCTGAATCACTGTCAGTCTTCCCGCGGAGAGCTGAAAAGAGACCTTGCCAATTCCAATCTTATTCACGCCTCAAAATGGTAGGTCAAGTCAAGGCGCAAGCCGCGAATCACTTTCAGCTGTCATCGCAATCTGGCGGGGTAGCTCAATCAGCAACCCCGCATCGCTGATCAACAAACTTATCGGAAGCTTCAGAGAACAGACCAAGTATCTCGCATCGTACCGGAAGCAGGCCGCCACGTCACGGCAATGCTCAATCCAAGAAAAAGGTTCAGTCGGGAAGGCATTACGTATCGGAAACTGTGAACTTAATGAGCTGCAATTGGCACTGGACGAGGACCCGAGATACAACAGACGTCCTGATAAGAATGGAATGGCAGGATACGACCTTGCATGTCACCATCGACCGTGGGAGCTTGATAATGCAAGGCTAGAATACAAAAGCACCGTCATAAGTCTTGGCATGCATGTCAGATGAGGGAAACTGCCTATCTCGCTCTCTTTATCTAGCCAAGAACTCTTGTTTATCGATACCACTTGATCAAGATTCTATACCGGCCCGGTGGGATAAAGGGTTTCCGCGTCGTTCGGCTAAGACCACTGGCGTCTACCGACCACTTGGACTTGGATATCCTGCCGCGACGTCCGAATCTTGGCAAATTCTTGACCTGAGCTGTGGCTGATTGGCCTATTATCTCGGTTCATGAAGACCTCACTATCTACGCTCAGCGACATCGGATCTTCCTGGGCAATAAGGATGAGAGGTCGGCCGAGTTCATCTCATAATCTGACAGTCTTTTAGGAAGCCAAACAGAAGTCCCTTGCACCTATCATATCCAAGCGAAAATGCTTTTGAGACAGTCTTTCTTAGGTCTTCTAGCCCTTGGTGTGGTAGTCGGGGCATCTTCTAAGACGAGACAACATGGGCTGTTCAAGCGGGCAGCGAATGTCACAACCTGCAACATCAACGAGGCCGCACCCAAGGTCAACGCACCGAAAGTCAACGTCTGGGCTCCCATCTCCCCTGATGATAACCTCGCTGTGTGGAATCTACTCCACGATCCGGCAACAGGTCTGAACCTCACAGACCCCAACAATGCGACGATTACGGACAACTATGTCTACTGGATCGACACTCTCCACACCAATAAGTCCACTGTCCTACCGTACCTCGGTGGTACCGCTAGCCCGCCGCCAAAATATGCGCGAGTGGTCATCTTCAGCGGAGGCCTGGAGATCCCAGACTCACAGGAGTACATGGTCGGACCTCTTCCCGTCGGCAACGGAACCAAGGTGGAGAAGCTCGACTACATCTTCAACGGCGGCAGTGGTGGCAAGATCCCGTACAACAGTCGCTATTTTGACGGCCCCCGCCTGGTAGCCTCCGAGCCGCTACTCGTGTCTATCATGAGCAACATCACCGACATCACGTCTGAACTCATTGGCGGAGTTTACTACGGCTTGAGCGATAATCGGACTACCCTCACTTCCACCAGCGGTACGCCCCTGTCTTATGATGGCACCCAAGCATTTCGCACGGTTATGTTTAGATATCCCAATACAGCGACATATCTTACGCCACTAGACTTCTCCGTTATGCTAGACGTTACCGGCACAGATGCTTCACAGTACAAATTACGAGGCATCGTGACGAATGAGAAGTTCTTTCCCACCGTCGCTGCTTTGCGGACCGCGTGGGAGGCAGGAGAGCTGAAGGAGCAATTTAAGCAGAGCCGGACTCCCGACTGGGGTCTCCTGGATTATAAGCCTGAGATGGGAGTCAGAGACCTCGAGAACAAGCTAGCGCCTCAAAGCCTCGAGGTTGGCGGCAAGAGGTATAAGGTTGATGAGGAACAGAAATACATCGAATACATGGGGTGGTCCTTCTACACCTCGTACTCGCGAACCCTTGGGCTGATGTACTATGACATCAAGTTCAAGGGTGAAAGGATCATCTACGAGCTTTCGCTACAGGAAGCTGCTGCACAATATGCTGGTTTCACACCCAAGGCAGCTGGAACAGTGTACCACGATACGTACTACAGCCTTGGTACCTACCTGGGCACGTTGGTCGAGGGGTATGATTGCCCCTTTGGCAGCACTTTCTGGAACGTCACGCACCACGAAGGCAACTCGTCTGTCGTCAGCACAGATGCGATTTGCATTTTCGAAGCCGATGCTGGCTATCCTGTCTCACGCCACCGATACGGTAGTAGTAATGAGTACGGCTTCAGTTATCTGGGCACAGTCAAGGCCTCGGCTTTGACTATGCGATCGGTAGCGACTGTGGGAAACTACGACTACATGTTCGACTACTCTTTCCACGTTGACGGTAGTCTCGAGGTCACAGTCCGAGCATCGGGATTCCTGCAATCTTCATTCTACTACCCAGACCAGGAAGAGTTTGGTCCCAGAATCCAGGAGGCGACGATGGGATCACTACATGATCATATTCTCACCTACAAGGCCGACTTTGATATTCTCGACACCAAAAACAGTCTTGAAGTAAGCGAGCTCGTTCTAGTCAATACGAGCCAGCCTTGGTATCCAGAGCTTGGCTCCTTTGAGCAGATGCAGCTGCAAAAGTCTACAATGACGGACGAGCAACAGTTCAACTGGCAACCAAACAACGCGGCAATGTACTGTATTGTAAATCCCAACGCCACGAACGCGTGGGGGGAAAAGCGCGGCTACCGCATAGTCCCCGGAATGTCCAATATTCATCTCACGCCGCTCAATTCTCCCTGGACGAAGTACCAGACGCCGTTCGCTAAGTCACACCTCGCGCTCTCGAGACAGCATGACACCGAGCCGTACGCGAACAGTCACTCCAACGTTAACTTGCCTCTGAAGCCCCAACAAGACTTCATGAAATTTTTTGATGGCGAGAGTGTCGAAAATGAAGATATCGTTCTTTGGTTCAATTTGGGTATGCATCACTTCACCAGGTCCGAGGATATCCCCGTTACACTTTATAGCGAGGCTGTGAGCAGCATTGTCTTTGCGCCGCAGAACTTCAACGATCGGGCGCAGGACGGCGATCTGCAGAACAGGAGATGGATCGTCGTTAACGAGACGACTGGTGAACTTGAGTCTGATAATTATGGGGTTGAACTGCCTTCCGAGTGCGAAGTTGGCTTTTCTGAGCCTGTTCTCGGGATCAAGAAAAACGAAGAAGCTTGAGGCGTTGACAGATTACTTGGGGCTACAGGAGTAGAAGGACACAGGGACAGGGAGCACTGTAGTGGTAAACAAAACCAAGTTAACTTGATGGACAACTTGTATCCCCCATCTCGACTAGTCTTATACCTCTGATTCGGCTTTTGCATATAATTAATCGCGAAAGAGAAATGAGCACATGTGTCTGTCCTAAGAGCAAAGAAATGGAATCATTACAACTATACTGCTTGTGTCTGGTAATCCAGGACCAGGGCTACGTGTTGGTCTCCCCAAGTTTCTTGTCCATCACTGGCCGAAGAATCTTGTAAAAGATAGCCCATAAGAATACAGAGACAAGAGGGAAGACACCCATCAGGTAAAGCGCAAAGCTGTAGCTCCTGACCTGCGCCACCCACCCAGCCAACGAGTGCGAAATAGCGGCACCAGTCTGTCGAGTGATGCCACCGACAATGCTCATAGTGATATTTACATGCCCAGTACCAGCCATCAAAACGGCTAGCAACCCTGGAATTGCTACGCTTTGGATACCTGCGCCAATGCCATCGAGGATCTGGACTGGCCACACGCCCCAGCCCTTCATAACACGGCCTGCGACAGCGGCGCGGACGGGCAAGACGCAGTACGAGAGCAGAACAGCTGACCAGTAGCCGTAACGGCCGGATGCCCAAGCAGACAGGATTGAAACGATGACCATTGTGCCCTGTGCTATGATGACGGTTAGGCCCGTGGTTCCGGCAGGGTCTCCCTCGCCTGCGGCCACCAAGGCCTGGCCGTAAAGGAAAAGAATTGCAGCGTTGCCGAGGTGGAACATGAATATTGTGATGGCGACAATACCGAGAGGCCAGTTGTTTTGAAAGATCTTGATCCAGCTGTAAGTGAACTTGGGCTTCAGACTCAATCGACGGAAGCTGGCCTTAGGACTGGTGATCGGAGTCTGAGGAGGTGGCATGTCACCCCTTTCTGCGAAATCATGGATGTCTACCTCCCCTCTCTCTTGCGTTCGATGGGCATTACCCGCGCTGTGATCAGGAGCAGGCCTTCCTCTTGCTGCTGCATGATCGACTGCTCTCTCCGGTAGGAGGAAAACACTTGCTATCGTTGTTGCGCAGAATGCCATGACGAGGTAGAAGACCGCGTTCAAGCCGAATTTCGACCCCAAAAGCCCAGCTAGACCCGCGCTGACCATGTTGCCCGCGTGGTTAGCTGCCTGATTTCGTCCATTTAGTACGCGGAAGCTGTGCTTTCTCTTGTTCTGCGTAGTGCTGCCTTCTTGGTCAGGGGAGCAGATGCCCAGTGTGAGCGCCACGAGAAGAGGCATCATGCTTGTGCCTGCGACGGCAGACACAATTTGCGTGGAAAAGACGAGGGCCGGATGTGTGGAGATCAGATTGAGTCCTTGAGAAACACCCACGAGGAGAGCGCAGCCAGCGACGAGAAATCGCTTGTACCTAGCGGCCTCAAGTATCAGCTACCTTGTCACAATACCGGAGTATGGGATTTGATAAGTCCGTGGGGGGTTAGAAACACTCACTTTGTTGCATCTATAAGCGCACCGATCGGCCCCGTTGCTATGATGGTAGCAACACCGCCCGCCGTACTCACCATACCACGCAGCCCAGGTTCCCACCCACGTTGTTGTAGGTAAACGCCAAGGAATGGGCCGAGCCCATCCGCAACATCTCCCATGAAGAAGGACATGACGAAGAGAGCCCAGCGTGCCCGCCTTTTCAACTTCTCGTTTTCCACCTGGCTCGAGTCAGGGCCTGATTGCGCATCTTCCTCGTCTAGTATGTTAACATTGGCGATGGTAGGTGGCGGAGATGCCGATGCAATGATCGGTATGTCCTTCTTGTCGTCAACGTTCCCATCCACGTTGGGCTCAATCGGGTGCAGCGACTCGAGGCTAATGTCGTTGCGCGGGTTGGACTGTAAATCCTTGGCGTCCATTGTCTCTCACCGTGAAGGGGTGACAGATACTCCCCTGCGTCCTTGGGCCTCAATGTACCGGGTGGGCTTTCGTTATAAGAAGCTCCGTCCGATCTATCGAGACAAACCGGCCAAACTGACACAGACAGAGGTTCCTACGTCAACGACGGGGCCATACCCGAATTGATGCACACAACTGTGCCAAATATAGACACTTGCTCAAACCTTCTTTTCTCGACCTACCTTGATTTGGAGCTATTTGGAGCTGTCTACGTCTTGACAAGCTTTCAGTTGGCGGTACACAAGGTTAGGTGCTACCTTATTTTGAAACGAGCAAACACACAAAACAGCTTTACAGCGAACACTGCATCTTCACCCCGCTTCTCACTGTTGCGAGACCTTCGGGAATTGTGTGATTCGGCCGAACTATAAGGGAGCATGATGTCGGCTCGGCATTGGCGGCTGAATGGCGCTTTAATACTACTTCCCTTTACCATGTAGTCCAAGGTATTGCAAAGTAAGTGTGCAATAATTGAGAGTCCCTTCGTGATCGTCACACGATGGAATTCCATAAACATTACATTCTAGACCAAACAAGCTCATTTGGATTTTGAGACTGGAGTCTGATATTCCGAGCTTCTTCATGACTATCTCACAGAGACTCAAAACTTTTTCTCGATGCGCAGTATCTCGTAGCAATATGATCTTTATCAATTAGGTAGGCCCATATGGAGATGTCAAGTCTATCCTCTTCAAGTACGATACTCGTGCCGAACTCGTGAGTCAATTGGATTGAACGAGAGTTTCAACCCTCCGAAGGTACTGGGACTTTCACCTTTCGGCTGCTTTCCCCACATCTCTTTAGCCAAGTCTCGTATGTCCTGCACCAATCCGTCTGGCTGCTGTAGAGCAGCGAGATGACCTGCGTCATTGCGTTCTGCAGTCTCAGTTAGTTAGTTGAACACCGGGCACCACGTTGCCAAAGGCATATCGGTGAATCAAACCTCTGTAAAAGACCAGGTTCCCATTCTGCTCGACTGATCGTCTCATTGCTCTTTTGGAGGCTTCGTCCGTATCCCAGGAACAGGAGCTGAACCCAAATGGCACCTTGATTCTATTGTCTTCGTCTATCGGAAGATCCGAGAACTTCTCGCAAGTCGGAGGATTGTAGTATGGCATGACCGAGGACATGATACATCCGGTGAAAAAGTACAGAGAAGCGGTGGTCAGAATGGCCTTGGTCCACAAGGGATTGTTCCGGGGCTCTGAGTGACCGACGACCTGGTACTTTTCAAGAACCCACATGAGTATTCCCATAGGATTATCATGCAATGCTAGGGCAATTGTTTGAGGCTATGCGATGAAAACCAATTAGTTCCATCTCATCCATCGTCGACTATGGATGATCTTACTTGGATTCTGGCGGTGACGTCAAACCCCCTATGGCGCTGTACCCAGTTTCCATATTTGCGGAAGTCCTCCTTCTCGCGTTCTGAGAGCTGGGTATCATCTGGTAGCGGAATGGAAGCATAGTTGCAGTGCAGAAGCTTACAGGAGTCAGTGTATTTTGCACCAAGCTCACGGCCTACAGCATGAACCAAATCGCCACACTGGACCATGTACTCGTTGTACCCAAGGCTCTTCATGAGCGTGTCAAAAACACGTGCGTTGTCCTTAAGCTTCCAGCTAGCCTGCTTTGAGGAAGAGGACCAACAGAAATCTGGCATGCTTGGTACCACGATGTGGAAAGATGGATCGTCAAGGTTGGCGTGATCAGATAACGGACGCCAGATTTGACTGTACTCCCAGAACGTCCCAGCCCAGCCATGGATGGCGAGCAGGGGAATTGCTTCAGGACTCTGCGATCGAGCGTGGGTGAAGTGTATTGTAAGGTCTTCAACTGTGGCCAAGTACTGCGGCACCTCGTTCATGTGGCTCTGAACCTCGTACCAGTCAAAGTCGTTGAGCCAACAACTTTGGAGGAATGTCGCCGTGGAGTACCAATCTCCTAGGTAGTTTTAGCCACGCAACTCAACATGATCTGCAAAGCAACGAACCAAAATTCTGGTCAGCATCACGGCATTCGGAACGACTCGGAAGTCTGAACTCTTCAAGTTTACTTCGCAAGCGCCTAACTTCTTCGTGTGCAATGTCGACCCTAAATTCCTTGATATCACACATGATGAAAGCTTTTCAGACTTTCGACTTGACCAGCAAGCTAATAATGTTTATGAGTATTAGCGACTATCATTCGAAAGCGCACGAGAACTCCGCACATTATAACCAGAGGAACTGATATTAATTATGTAATCATAGCCGCGGCTTTCTGGTGCCAATAGCTTTGACTCGTCTCGAAACATTGCGCCCAGACCGAAAGCTTTGTTGCACATATGATCTCATTTCAGCTGCACAGTGCACATGCAGTTGACGAAACACTTGACACACGAAAGCCGGAACGCACAGCGAGCTGCTCGACGAGACTATAACCGGGCGGCAATACGGAATTGTCTCTAGTTGATTACGTACGATGAAAGAAATCTATTTTGCGGGCCAATTAAGAGTCGTAACTGATCAAACCATCCATGGTTCCCGCATGAAGTCCACCAGTGATGGGTATATCCGCTGCCGTTGTGTGGCGCGCAGCATCACTGAGGAGATAGACGACGGCACCAGTAAGGTCGTTTTGCGTGCTAAGCCTCTGGTTGGGTGGCGCGAGCCACATCTGCTCTCCCTCCCGCTTACTCTTTGACGCCCGTACGTTTCTTGTCATTTCTGAGTCGACGAAACCGGGAGAAATGGTGTTCACTCGGATGTTGTGTGGTGCGAGCTCAACGGCAAGGGCCTTGGAGAGCATGAAGACGGCTCCCTTGGAGGCGTTGTATGCCGCCATGCGGTAGCCGGGGAGAGCAATGTGCGCGGACTGGGAGGCTAGAAGGACCATGCTGCCCCCAGACCCTTGCTTCAACATTTGCTTGGCCGCAAGTTGAGCGACGAAGAATGTTCCGCGAACCTATTTGATTATGAGTATGAACTCCTGCGGGGTAACACCATAGAAACGACTCACGTTAATCTCCTGGATGCGGTTGAACTCGGCCCATGTTTGATCGAGGAATGGCTTATCTATGGCAATGCCCGCCGCCGGCACACAGCCGTTGATGGAGCCGAATTCCGCAATCACTTTGTCGAAAGCAGCTTGGATACTCTCCTGCGACGTGACGTCCGTCTTGATGTAAACAGTTTTTGTGCCAAACTTCTCAGAGAGTGTGTCAAACTCATCGACTGGCTTATCCTGGATATCAAACACTGCTACATTCCCTCCCATCTCGCAAATAGCGCGAGTGCATGCAAAACCGATGCCCTGAGCTCCGCCCGTAACGATGTAGTTACGGCCGCGGAGCTCAAACATGGGCCGCACGTCGTCAAGGTGGTCGGAAGGCATGATAAACCGATTGAAGATGGGTTGCGACTGGTAAATGAGTATGACGGCTATGATTCAGATCTGAGGGAAAGTCAGTAGTTGCATTGGTCATGAACGATGTGAATAGTCCCTGCTGTTCCTTTATCGTGACTCCCGGCGAGGAGTGTGTGGCCCCGGGATTGGCTTCGGAAAGTGGGTCTCACCCCGGTTCCGTAGACTTCGGAAGCTCCGAAGCTCATCGGTTCCTATTCGTGCTGGCGCGCCGGATCCCTACCCCGACTCTTTGTCGACCCGTTTAGGACACCAGTTGGCGACACTTGATATGACTTACCCTAGAGGCGATTACCGTAACGCGATTGATATTCGTCTGGGTGTATGAGTGTCACACTTCTGTCTATCCATTTGGTTGATAATACCTACTCGGTACTTTGTATAATCGCGAACAAGCATCTAGCTGTCTCAACCACAACTAAGATTTCGTCGAATCTTATCGCAGAGACAATGGCATCCAATGCACCAGGTGCTTGTTGCACTGTTGGCACACTTCACGAGTAAGATTATTCCTAGGTGCACAGCAATAACAATCTTCGAATATCAGCTGATTTCCTCAACATAGGGGTAATCCAACAGGGAAATCCGTCCAGGTTGATGGGAAAATTGAGGCATACTTGGCTCTTCCCGCTGAAAACGAGGCTTCGCAGCGAGCTGTCTTGTATCTTCCAGATATCATTGGAATATGGCAAAACAGCAAGCTCATGGCCGATGCATTTGCTCGCCAGGGCTACGCATGTCTAGTCCTCGATCTGTTCAATGGTGATCCGGCACCGTTAAACATGCCGGAGGATTTTGACATCATGAAGTGGCTGCAGGAGGGCACTGGCGGGAAGAACCCACACACCTCAGAGACAATTGACCCGATAGTCGTCTCCGGCATCAACTACCTAAAAGGCCTTGGTATCACGAAAATTGCAGCAGCAGGATATTGTTTTGGGGCCAAGGTTCGTTTTCATATCAGTTGCACACTACGCAGTATCCTAATTCTCTTCCAAGTATGCCGTGCGTCATTACAAGAGCGGAATCCAATGCGGTTTCATTGCCCACCCGTCCTTTGTAGAGGCGGATGAGCTCGCTGCCATCACCGGACCGCTGTCGATTGCTGCAGCAGAGTTTGATGACATCTTCCCAACAGAGAAGCGACATGAAAGTGAAGCTATTCTCGCTCAAACGAAGCAGAACTACCAGATCAACCTGTTTTCTGGTGTTCACCATGGCTTTTCCGTTCGCGGTGACCCGAAGAACGAAAAGGAGAGGTTCGGAAAAGAGCAAGCTTTCTATCAAGCGGTATCATGGTTCAACAGATACTTCGAAGCCGTATGAGTCTAATCGCAAGGTCTCTACTTATGAATGGAAAGATTTGAGCTGTGCACCTTTGCTATCCCACCCTTTTGAACCGGCTCTTGCCCTCAATGAACTGGAAAGCTTATTGAACGTTGCAAATTACAGCCGGCCTGAGACGAGTCCCTCTCTCACAACACATGCACTGACCCCAGCAGAAAGTTCGTTGAACTCAAGGGCGGTTGCCATTGCCTGGACGGAAAGATTATTGGAGAGGAATGAGGCCCACGTAAGAAGCCTCGGGCTTAAAGATCGCCTTTGTGCAATTTCCGAGCTCCGAGACCATACACTACCCCCCGTCCCGCTTGACTCTTTAGCCCAGTCTGCTAGGGCTGAGGTAAGGCAAAATTTCGAGCAGACATGTCTCCAAAACGTCATCAATGAAGGCTACAGCAAGTACTCAGCTTTCATCAGTACTCTGTTACCACCGACCTATATGGCTTACCCTCGAGAACTTACGAAGTGTACCACTCCAGATTTTACACGCATGTGGTGACTGGGGAAATCATGGATGGATGTAGCATCCATCCCTAATCAACCATCTGAAATATATTTATGCAACATAAATAATCAGGGAGTTTTCGATGGGCACCTTCATACTAGTCTTACGGCTAGGCAAGCCACATAAGCCATTGCAGGCGACCAAATGTCACTATCGTAGTCGTATAGGCGAATTCATTTTAGTGATCCCCCGTAGTGCATAGGTAATTCAGTCTAGTATCCTACCGCATAACTCAGTCACTTCCACCAATTTGTGCGGTCAAACGTTGGGTTTTCACAATAGTGAATGTAAATGCTGACGGAACGATGATGTGACTGACAGAATGTCTCAGTAGCCCCTGTAAGGGAAGCACACACCTTACACACACCTCCGCTAATCGTGGAACTGACAGTTGGATTAAGTCGGTAATATGCACTGGGCAAACTAAGTAAACAGCCACGAAGTAAACTTGAAGTATTCAGGGATGGGTTAGCCGCCCACGTGTTGCCATATTCTAGCCATGCTCAAGAGGTGGTTGCAACGAAAATTTGTCAATGATCTCTGCTCAGTACTTTATCTTTACAAAGATTATCAGATTACTTGATAGGAGACCTCGATTGGAGGTATGATCTTAAATTTTCCCTCTGTCTGTAGTTCGACGAAGCCCCACCCTATCCCATATTTGCCGACACACAGATATCATTTTCTTGTCATCTTCTCATCACTTTCATAAAGCTCATTGATATTTGCCACAGGCATTCATGGCTCCGCCATTAGACAACATCGTCGTAAGGCAAATTGCATCTCTGTCAATACTTTTCGTACTCGCGACTGGGATTTTCGGCCTTCGATTATTCACTCGGATTGTACATACTATGACCTACCGACTATTGCTAGATGACTATTGCATCATTGTTGCATGGGTGAGCATTTCAAGCTCCTATCATGCGTCTTCTACTAATCTCAAAGCCAAGATACTGTTCGCTACCCAGCTATTCCTTCGAGTCGCGGTGCTTAATGCCACATCTCTAGTGCCTATCGTTCTGTTGGTTAAAAAGAATGCGGACATGAGCCATGTAGCTGGAGTCATGGCAAATATGGCATGGTCGCTTGCCAAGACATCTTTCATCTTCACTCTTTTGCAGCTCGTCACCGGAAAATTGCGATGGCTATTGTGGTTCATCATGGTGACCATGAACGTTACCGTGGCGACATGGGTACCCTTATTCGAAAATCCATGTGGTCCTCGTTCTCATTTGCCGTGCATGACAGGTAGACAGGCACTCAACTTTGCTGTCTTTGCTTCCGGTATGCTTGAGTATGTCGCAGTTTTCGGGTCTACAAATCACACTCACAGCTCAATGTATCAGCTTATTCAGTCTTTTTGGACTTCCTCCTATCGTTACTGCCATGGAAGATCATATGGCCGCTGCACCTCAGCACAAAGGACAGAATTGGTATATGTGTGGCCATGAGCATGGGATTCGGGTTAGTTTTTTCTCTGCCATTATTACGGGCTGCTTTCAATTTCTAATCATGTACGAAGTGCTGGAGCAACAGGAATTGTCAAGATATTTCATCTTTTCAGCTTCAACCCGTTGGATAATAGTAAGTTCCGATTTTAGTGCGATTAGTTTTTGTAACATTCCCGTGTAATCTAACTACTCTGTAGATAAATTAGGGGGTCTTTTTATATGGGAAAGTGCTGAGATCGCAGCGACTATCATTGCCGCGTCAATCCCCGTGCTGCGGAAGCTCTCTCTCAGCCGCAGGAGACACAATATCGCGCCTAACATGCGGGAAAATCAAGAAGAAGCGATGAGGTCAAGCTTCAGACGGCAGCTACGCATGGTCGGTCTCGTAAGCCAAGTTACAGAAAACACCAACACGACTCAAGCTGCTCCATCAACAATCCTTGGGTCAACTCAAGAGGAAGCGAACGTGGTTTGAATGGGGGCGCAGATTACTATTAAGATTGAGACTTGAGGTGTAATGACCCAAGAGAAAGGAAGCGTGCATAGAGATAAGACTTTCTTGGCTTCTGTCTACTGGTAGATGCATTTCTTGACTGATACTAGTCTAGAACCCAATCATTTTGGAAATGAGATCAGAGCTAATACCCAAATCCGCATAAAATGGGGAAAGCTCTTTCAGTTGCCTGAGCCTCACTGGTGTCTTGAGTTCCTTGGATATTGCATCTGCGATGTGCTGCTCACAGCCTTCAGCTGTGTCCGTTTGGTGGCCACGATAGAAACTAATTATCGTATGGGGATTACGACCGGATCGCTTCACCATTGATCGAAATGCTAAATAAGTCCGCCAGCAGCCTTCAATCGCATATCAAATTAATTGTGCTTACTCTCGAACGTTGCCTCGCTTTGTATCATCAACGAAGCATGATCTCCAGCATCAGGGAAGCATTCGTAATGAGTTGATGTTGCTGAATAAGATCTAATATTCATTTGGCGAAATGTTCTTCGAGTTCACGAATCGGGCCAGCTTTCAGACTCTAAAGATTACGGAACAGCTCGTGACGGTACCGACGGCGCTGAACAGGTCCGAGTACTGGATTTACTGCTTGCATGATGTTAGCGAACTTGGCGCGCATGCGATACCACGTGTGGGGGTTGATCTTATTGTCACCTGGAAGAAGGTGAATACACCGGCCTGCTGTTCGCAGCCTGTAAGACCTTACTGCGGTTGCTTGTCTAAGCAATAGGGTTATCGGTAGTAGGTTCTTGGGTATCAAGGTAACACTCATGAGCGTCACGACATGACTACTTCAAGGAAAGATCTCTTCACACCGTCGGTAACATATGTTTGGGCATTACTGAATGTGTCGTCATAGCTATATCTGCGAATACGAGACTTCGCTCCGATTTCCCTCACGTATGCAGGGTGAGAGTGTTCGTCGGTGGTCCCTTAATCGCCGTGTGGTTGGCTGAAAACTCTCCCTAGCAGCGACAAGAAGCGTCATGATGTGTGTAAATGGCCGGTTGAACATCTGCTGCCGTCATTGCAGGGCAGATCTCGAAAAAGCAAATACTGCCCCCCGCCCCCCAGGTGGGTCGTTCAGCTACTCTTTTAAATGCTTAACCTCGCTAACAGCTTCATAGATGAGGTCTCCCCCATTTTGACAATAGTCATTATGGGTAAACTTGTTGTGTTTCCGGGCTGGTACTTCCGAAGTGTTTGTATAAGATGGACAACAAAAACAGGGACGATGAGATTGAATGTTGGGATGAAGTGCACTTTACCGCCGGAGCTGTGTCTCGTGAAAGGGCGACCAGAAGCGCACATCCAGGAATGGTTCATAAACGCCCGCGCTTCCCACGGACCAGGGGGTTCAGGAAGCGAGCGATCGAGCCATTTGATTCACAGCCCACTAGTGTATGTACCACAAGCCGGGGACCCAGACTTGATGCCATATCCAAGTTACTCACAGAGACTTGATGTGTATGTCTTTAACTAAAATCCATCAACACTAAAACCAGTGGCATTGGCGTTCATCTGGTTAGCTGCGGTATAGTTTATGTAGGTAGTCTCAAGAAAAGCGTTCCTACCCGCAGGACGACAGAGCGGGTTGTGGTTGATGCTAAGCAGGCGTGGCAGGGACCACTCGGAAACACCACGCTGAAACCCCGGAAGCGGCATTCTGCCAGAACCAACAAGTCAGCATTGGCGGATTTCGTATGTGGTGCTTTGCTTACGAATTGTGGCAGACTTGTTCAGCTCTTGAACAGATCCGGCATGGTTCAAGGACTAGCCCTGAAGCAAGGAGTGCCGGGCGACACGGATCAAAACTTAGTGAAAGAGAAACATGGGGATTATCCCATCTTAACCAATCGTCAAAGCCCCGTTATCTCTTCCCCGCATTCTACATTTCTAGCGGGTAAGGGACCCTAGGCTAAACCCGTAATCGTAGGAAGTCCCGCTTTGCCGCTATCAAGAGGAACATAGCCGACTGACAATCTGTCTGCTTATCTCTTCCCTCTCCTATTCGATTGTGTTGGTTCTCTTCCATCCCCCGGCATTTCTCTCTGAAAGAACCGCTTTTCCATCCTTTCGATCATTGTGTGGCCTGCATACTGAACGTCATCGTTTCACTTACTTGCGCAATATCCACCTGGAAACCATCTGCTTTCAATTACGTTTGAGGTTAAAGTACCCTGCGATGCCACGGAGCAAAGACACCATGGCGCAACCGAAAGAGAACCGCGTCACAAAGAGACCAAGCCCACAGAGCGGAGAGACGGGAAGACGACGAGCGCCGTATGCACTGCGCGCTTGCGAGGCATGTCGCCGACGAAAGGGGAAATGCGACGGACGGCAACCATGCAGGTACTGCGCAGGACGTAAGCAGACCTGCGTCTTCGACAGCATCTACGGCTCCGATGACGGCATGTGGTCCGTCCCGACTGCGACGGCCACCGATGATTCTCCTACCGAGTCCGATCAATCAAGGCGAGAGACCTCGTCAACGTCCAATAACCAGGACAACATCATGAAACTCTTATCAAGTCTACAAGACCAATTGAACAGTCTCGCATCCCGCGTGCAGACTCCTAGCGAGGTGGCGAACGCCATACAACCATCCCCGGCATTCACAATGGGCAACCAAACACCCGAAGATTTCCTTTCAGCCCTCATAACTGACGCTGGAGTCCTCGAAAACTGCCTTGAGTCAATCGGGCCGTCAACGTGCTCCCCGCCTCGGCAGCTGTACGGCCTGCCGAGCCCGGAGGAGACCATGAAGGTTGCCCGAAAACGCATTCGCCGAGAGAGCCTATACCACACGCCGCCCGAACCAATGCAAGAAGAACCGATCAGCCTCGACTTCATTCCTACTGTGTCGGTCCATGACGATGCCATGTCTTTGACGCAGAGCACGAGTTCTTTCAACCCACTTGTAACCGGCGCAAGCGATTCCCAAAAGTTGTTGCGCTTCAAGTCTTTGATGAACATCGACGAAGTGGTCGAAATGCTTGGCGTATACCAAGACGCTATCGGCGCTCTTCACCCGATTATCGACATCGACCAGACTATCGCCCATGCTCGGTTCTTCTATGCGGATGCGGATTCGACAAGTTGGGAGATAGTGACGGAAAAGTCGGACATGGCTTCCGAGGAAGATTTGATAATCTTGAATCTTGCCTTGGCTATTGCACTCCACACCGAAGCGACGCCAGAAAGCTCCAATATCGAAGCGCTCATAGTAGATTGTATGAAAGAGGCTGTGAACAGCAGAATTACCGAATCTAACACAAGTATGAAGCAAGTCATCATCATACTTCTCAAGGTCAGTTGCAGCCACTTTCCGTTTCGACTCCATCTAGCACTGACAAGACCAATCAGGGCTGCTACGAATACTTCAATGATATGCCCCAGGTTGCATGGCGTATGTGTGGCATAGCCGGGCGCATGCTCATGGAGCTCGGAGTACACAACGAGGAAGCGTGGTCCCGTCTGGCAAGCTCACCGAGTCTACGCTCAGGACTCTGCACCCTGGTCTCCAGCATTGTCATCCTGGACCGACAATGGAGTGCAGCAGCCAACCTGCCCTCGAACTTTCATGACTCCAGTTTCAGCCCTGTCAACCTTATCTCGGTAAGCTACACCGTTCTGATGAAACTCTCAACCTGCATTAACACACCAAAAGGCCGATCATCCCTACATACAAGCAATGCTGTCCTTCATCCGCGTCAGCAATAAGCTGGAAGGGCCTATGGCACAAGCCACAAAGGCCCAGCGGTACGAAGACGAGGATAACTTTGAGCTCATGAATTTCCAGTTGGAGCAATGGCGCAAACGAGCTGTCGGCAACTACTCCATCACACACCCTGAGACATGGAGCCTAAGCCCTCCCAAGCAACCTTCCTCTTTCCCCATACTACTCCACCTGCGCGCGGAAACCGTCCGGAGTTTCCTCCTCAAGCCGTGGTTCTTCTCACGAACCGACACACAGACGAGCAAGAAATACCTGCAGCCCGCAATCGAAGTCCTCTTTGATATCTGCGACGTTCTCTACGCACTGAACGCCAACACAGACATCTACCGGAAGCAGCAGCCCTATTACCAAGAGCTATTGGCTTCAGCTTCCGCCCTCGGTTTCGTCCTGACGTCATCCCTGGAGCAGAACCGTTCAACCTTACTAGCTAGCCTGCCGCCGGGACTGTCCAAGGCCATGGGCCGCAGCTACGAGCTGGCTGTGGCACTGGCAGCGAGTTATGTTACGAGGTCAAAGGCTGCAAGGCAACTGTCTGATCAGCTTGCGGAGGTGCGTGGGAGTCTGATGGGGTTTGGCATGATCGAGATGCCCGACTCCGAGAATGATGACGGCAGGAAGGACGGCGACGTACTTCCTGCATCGGAGTTTATGTATGATGGGTCTTCTGGGTGGGACGATGAGTTCCAGATGCAATGGCCAAATTGCGATCTCGAGAACAGTTTTGCTGAGGGCTTAGTCTCTTAAGGGGCCTCTTGGCGGTTGTACTTTTATTATATTACCATGTGATACGAGATGAATGACGATCAATGATAACATCGACGATTATTTTCAGAGTCTACAAGGCCGCCACCGGTATTTGACGTCTCAGACATACAAAAAGACATGGCTACCTAGACTCAAGATGCTTGATCATTGCAGGACCGAATCAGAGAACTAGTAGCTCCAACCTAAACCTCTACCGTATCCGTTGATTCTTCCATAGCTCCTTCATGATTTCCGCACCTTGAAATTAAACATTTCGTTTGATACAACAGAGTTCCGATCCCTCATCTTTTCCGCAGTATCGATCCCTAGGACTGGCACGCGGTACTCAAAAGTTGCCCCATCCTCTTGGCCTTTGATCGGATATGGGAAGGGAAGGTACTGCGGCATCAAACCAAGTTGAGCCAGGACGGTTCCCTGGTCCCATGAAATGTGCTCGTGGTACAACCTGTCGCCACGA